GAGTGGTGAGTGGAGGAACGAGTGGTGAGTGGAGGACGAGTGAGTGAGGTGGGAGGAACGAGTGAGTGAGTGGAGGAACGAGTGAGTGAGTGGAGGAACGAGTGAAGTGAGTGGAGGAAGCGAGTGAGTGAGTGGAGGAACGAGTGAGTGTGGGAATGAATGAGGGAATAGATAAATGAATGAAAGGGAGGAGAATAGGTCGTCTATCACCTCACACCTGCCAGCAGGGCACGGGGTGCAAGGCGTGAATGAGGGAACGAAGGCAAGAGTGAGTGGCGCCTTCATCTGCCCAGCTAGGTTGTTTCACAAACTCACTCACTCTTTCACTCCCTCATGCTCTCACTCTACTCACTCACTCACTCACTCATCCACTCGTTCACTCACTCAATCACTAACTTTCTTGCACTCCTTGCCTTGGTGGCTGGTGCGGGAGGATAAAACCCCCATTCACCCTCTCTCTCATTGACTCTTTCATTCATTCCCTCATTCACTCCCTTATACTCCGTGCTCTGGGAGGATAAAAGCACCATCTACCCTCTCTCACGTCTTTTCCCTATTCACTCACACATCATCAACTTTCACTCACTCACTTATCATTCACATATGACGCATTCTCACACACTCGTACTCACGCATCTCATTCTCATTAAATTGTGCAAATGCTGATGAAGTGTTATTGACATTTGTAAAGGATGAAATAATTGGTCATCTTTGTGAACTCAGATTTATTCAGAGTGCCGCCTTTCGACGGTTTTGTTCTCGTCAAAGAGCCGTCAAGTGTCGGCTCTCTGAATATATCTGACTTTTCAAAGATGAACTTAATTATTTCATCCTTTTATCACTCTCACTAATACATGATTCACTCTTTTCACTTCATACAACATTTGTTATGAAACATAAATAAAAAATAATTCTGTGTATATTTTTTCAAGTAAATTTCTGGCTTGACCATCTTCGGGCATAGAATCTGTTAATTTTTAATTTCTTATTATAATAAACGTATAGAGCACAAATTCATTTTTTAAACATAAAAATTCCCGCCAAAGGCATCAAGTGAAGTTAGTATGAGGTGAATTCTGATGTCCTAAAACATCACCAACAATGATCAATAAAATGCCCTTGAAATGTTTTTAAAATGTCGTAAAACAAAAAAGATAACGTAAATAATGTGATCAAAACCAGTTCGGATGAGCGACTCAAGCTGTTGGATATTTTACTTATGCAATCGAGGCTTTTTCTATTCGATCAAATTAACTCAGCTTGTAAGCGTTTGGTTTGTATTGTTCTTTACCACGAAATATTTTGACTTCCGTTATCCCGAAATAATCGAACCCTCAATGACGCTGATAGGCGTCATAAAAACTTTAGATTACATACTCACAATGGCTGACATTAGAATTTTTGAGCGAAGATATCGAATAGGTTCCTTATTTCATTAAAATTACAGCCTGATGAAATGTTGGAATGTGGACTGCAGCAATAGTGCGACTTTTATAAGAAAAAGCTGTTTTAGCAGCTAAGGCTGGTAATATAAATGAAGGTTATGTGTTTGTTGCCCTTAAATCCTTTCGTTCCTCCATTCGTTCGACTGCAGTTGGCTAACTTGTAAATGGCTTGGACACTTACTTTTGTGATGTTCTCGTCCCACGAAAATATAGTGCGCCTAGAGAAATAATTGAAATTAGGAAGTGCAGTGCTATGTACTCTTCTGTAAAAATTTCTTCATTTATAAACATTCCATTGAATTTAGTTTTTGTGCGATAAGTATTTTGTTTATTTTATAACCGAGTCTTCAATGTAAGATGCATACTGGTGCTTGTGTTTCCGTCTCTTGTGCTGTAGGGTGGCGAGCTGTGGTCGAGAGTGTTTCGTGGTTCCGTGCTTTTCGATATAAACTTATTATATAATTACACGGTTGTGTATAACGAGAAGCCCTGATGTCTTAACGGGATCCATGCACAAACATAAACACTTTACGAAGAGAGGTGGCTGAACAGCTGTCGCGGCGGAGGGATACTTCTCTGAAGTACACGTGCTGTTCATTTGTTTAGCGAATGTTCATTTTGGCTCGTTCTTGGGCGGATTCTTCAATACCTGCGTGCGGCCTGCGAGAGTCGACTGCGCAGATCCTGGGCTGTGACGTCCCTCGGCCTTCTTAGGGCACGTGCCACTCTCCGTGGAACAGGGCAGCTGGGTGGAGCATCTGTTGGTAGCAGACAAGTTACACTTGCCACTTGAGGGTTAGTAGGAAACAAGACACGTTACAAGTACCCTGGGCAACTATGAGATGCGGCCAAGTTACTAGCCACCTGGGCGCCTGTAGGAAGCAGACAAGTGACAAGGCACCTGAGAGTTTGTGGGAATCAGAAATGTTACAAATCAACTGAGCATCTATAGCAAAATTTTCATACATCATTCCTCATCGGGTTCAAAGACTGGCCGAGAGTTTTCAATAAAAATTTGCACACAACACCAAATTTTACCCTTTGATATTACTACGTATATTATGTTTCAGTTCTACTACTAGGGATACTGACTTTAAAGCGCCAATAGATGGCAGCAGAGAAGACGGAGGGGTGAAACAGAAATTCTACTCTTAGCTAAAGAGATTAGGCTTAAACTAAGCAGCACGAGAAAGTGTGTGCGGTTGTAGCGCCGCTTGTTTCATATTTTCAAGGGCCACCTTAAGTGGATGTGAACGTGTGCGCGTCTACCGCGAGAGCGGGCGCGAACGAAAATGGAGATGTCACTTTGAAAATCAGCTCTCGAATTTGATTTATGGATTAGTTCGGGCTTTTATGTTTCGATGTGGCGGTGTTCTTCCTCCCAGCTGGAAGAGAGATCCGGCGCCGACCTATCGTCGGCTAGTGGGGTTTCCCAAACAAAGTATCTCCCACCAGCGGGGTAACGCCCCGGCCGAGACGACGTCTAACCTTCCGACCGGTCTCCTGACATGGGTGATAGTGCAGTGCATGTTAGCGTAGTAAGTGTGTGTAAAGGGCGAGGAAAAAGAATGCGTGACGAAAAGGAAAGAAAGAAAGAAAAGATAGCGCGCGACCTGCGGCCCGTTTTTCATGGTACTACTCCGGTACTTGCCTGGTGTTTATCGAAGAAACCACGGACAAGTACCGATCAGAGCAGCCGGCCGCTAGAATTCATCTCCATTCACCGGCTGAATTCGACCAAGCTCTCTTCGCAGTATCGAAAATCCTGCCACCGTCGGGACTCGAACCTCCCGGTCAGAGGGACTGCAGTAGCATCAGTTGATGCCCTGAGCCACCTCTTCCGGTGGGAGGAGAGAGAGGGAAGCACGAGAGGAGAGATAGGAGGGG